TTAACGCGTCTGCCTTAATCACTGCGCCTCTGGGAAACCGGAGGTACGGGGCTCGATTCCCCGCGGTGCCCGCCCTGCCTGCCAGGGTGAGAGGCAGGCGACGCCGTATAGCCTCGGCAGCTGAGTGCGTCGTAAAACCCCAATGACAACAGAGCCGGACGCCGAGGATCCCTCGCTGTGTCAGAGGCGGACGCTGACGGCCCCTCTGCAGTGTCAGAGCTGGGCGCTGACGGCCCCTCTGCAGTGTCAGAGCCGGACGCTGACGGCCCCTCTGCAGTGTCAGAGCTGGGCGCTGACGGCCCCTCTGCAGTGTCAGAGCCGGACGCTGACGGCCCCTCTGCAGTGTCAGAGCTGGGCGCTGACGACCCCTCTGCAGTGTCAGAGCTGGACGCTGACGGCCCCTCTGCAGTGTCAGAGCCGGACGCTGACGGCCCCTCTGCAGCGTCAGAGCCGGACGCTGACGGCCCCTCTGCAGTGTCAGAGCCGGACGCTGACGGCTCCTCTGCAGTGTCAGAGCCGGACGCTGACGGCCCCTCTGCAGCGTCAGAGCCGGACGCTGACGGCCCCTCTGCAGTGTCAGAGCCGGACGCTGACTGCTCCTCGCTGTGTCAGAGCCGGACGCTGACAGCCCCTCTGCAGTGCCATACAGTGTTAGAGCCGGACGCTGACGGCCCCTCTGCAGTATCAGAGCTGGACGCTGACGGCCCCTCTGCAGTGTCAGAGCTGGACGCTGACGGCCCCTTTGCGCCGCCAGTTCGCCGAGCACGTGTTCCGCACGTTCGACGCCAACGGTGACGGGACGATCGACTTCCGGGAGTTCCTCTGCGCCCTGTCCGTGACGTCACGGGGTCGGCTGGAGCAGAAGCTCAAGTGGGCCTTCTCCATGTACGACCTGGACGGCAACGGGTACATCAGCCGACCGGAGATGCTCGAGATTGTCACGGTGAGAGCGTGGGGGTCCACGATCGCGGCTCTTGGAGTCTCAGTCCTTCTGGAAAGCTGTAGCCGCTGCTCTTGTCGTGATGTGACGTTGCCTCGCAGGCGTCGATGTATGTAGGAGTTGGTGATTTTGGCGCTCGGTGCTTTGCGTGATACTGAAAACAGCGGATTATCCGTTTTAATCCAACGACCTGTCGGTCCTCACAAATATCAATGTTTTTTGCTATTATTGTTTTTACCAAGTTAATGTACTGATATCAATATAGCCAGAGTTTTCATATAACGTTGTTGAACGAGTATCTCCCAGTATGTTGAGGGTCGATAATTCACCATAAGAGCTCTGAACCCAGAAGAATATTTTGCACCGCTAATTGTTGTGAAGGGGTCGCTGTTTTTAGTTTTGAGATGCATCATGGCTTGTTGTGTTTTTAAGGCTTTCTTTGATCAGCTCAAACCAATATGTTAAAATTATTTTCCTTGGCCGGCTTCATTGCTGCTGTCCTGCACCGGTACACTTGATCCTGATAAGTTTCCGTTGGCTGACGTCTGCTGCTTCCCCGCATTGGTACTCTTGAGCCTGATTTGTTTTTCCCGGCTGACACAAATCGCGGTAAACACGCCTTTGGCCAACACAGCACGAAAGCCATATCGTTTAGCTACTGTCAGGTAACACACCTTGGGTTTCTGCTCTCAAGCCACGCTGGCGGGCGCGGTGGCTCGGGCCACTGAGTCGCGCGCGTCGCTGCGCCGGCTCGCCGCGCCACGCGCCGCTGACCCCGACCCCGTCCGCAGGCCATCTACAAGATGGTGGGCTCCGTGATGAAGATGCCGGAGGACGAGTCGACGCCCGAGAAGCGCACCGACAAGATCTTCCGCCAGATGGACCGCAACCACGACGGCAAGCTCAGCCTGGAGGAGTTCGTGGAGGGCGCCAAGAGTGATCCGTCCATCGTGCGGCTGCTGCAGTGTGACCCTCAGGCGCAGTGACCCGGCCCGCCCGCTGCCTGCCAGCTCGGCCCGGCCCGGCCCGGCCCGGCCCGCGTCAGGGGGCGTCCCGTCGGCGGGGCGAGAGAGAGCGCCGGCCGGAGGCGGCTCGGGGAGGCCCAGTCCGCGCGAGACTCTGGTCCGGCGCGGCTCAGGAGGACACGCTACACCCGGTCCAGGAGGACAGCACGCCCGGCCGGGAGCATGCTCCGTCCGGCGGGGAGGACTCTGCCGAGCCGGCGCTGGACCGACAGCGACGAGGGGACGCCCCGCGAGAGGACGCCCGGCCAGGCCGGAGAGGACGGTTCGCCGTGCCGAGAGGACTGTTTACCGTGCCGAGAGGACGGTTCGCCCTGGCTAAGAGGACTGCCGATCCGACGTGGGAGCACGCCGCGGTCCAGGCTGCGTCCCGCGTCGTTGTTTCTCGATGATGCTCGGCGCCGGCATGTCGGCGCAACTGAGGAGTGGTCGGTGGCACTCTCTTTACGCTGCGTTTTTCTCACTTGGTGCGCCGCTGTGAGTCGGAAGTGCTTGTTTGGACGGGTTACCAGTCAGTTCTTTGCGGGTAACTATCGGCTGCCGTAAGATTCCGTGACGCGGCACCGCACCGAGACAGAACGCCTACGCTGAGCCGTGCCACCATTTCAAGAGCAGATTCGCGCGTGCCAATGGGTTTGAAGCTCCGTGCCTTATTTGAGCTTGGCTTTTCCGCGCCGCGGCCTCTGTCCGGTCGGGCTCAGTCGTGTCCTGTCCTGTCCGGCCGAGCCCTGTCCTGTCCTGTCCTGTCCTGTCCTGTTCTGTCCGGTGGTCCCCAGTCCTGTCCTGTCCAGTCGGGCCCAGTCGCGCCCCCTCGGCCGGCGCGCCCCGCCGTCGTCCGGTGGACGCAAGCCAGACCCGGCCCCCTTGGTGCCGGGTCTGGGATATCACCTTGGCGTCATACACAGTGGTCAGACCGTTGGCTGGCCTCCTGAATGGCCGCTGGCGCCGCAGACCGCAGTCCAGACTGGGTCGCCACGATGAGGCAGGCCACTGGCCACGGTGAACAATCCAGCCCATGCGTAGCACAGATTTGCGACAGATCGGCGCATCAACTCGCCCGTGCAAGTGATCCGTCAGGATCGACGGCACGAACCGCGGTTTACTTCGTGGACGTGTCGCGGCCCGGAATCAGATTAACCCGGGGTGTCACGTCCGGACCGCGCTCCCCGGCGGGCGGGGCGGCCGAGAGCAGTCCGTCCAGGCTGGAGGCGGGTCCGACGGCGGCCGCAGCCCGGGCCCGGCCCTTCACAGCTCGCCCGCCGGCCGGCCTTTCCTAGTGCGGCGCCGCCCGCACTGAGGTCACCAGGCATCGTCGGTGACGTCACCGGTCACCGCGCGGCCCCACCGTTCCTCTCTTGGTGTGTTGTTTTTGTTGGCGTTTGTACAGTCGAGTGCTAGTTGATGCTAGTTCCAGTGCACCAGATCTCGACTGCCCCCGGCGCGGTCCCAGCGGAGGGCGAGCGGCGCGGGTTCGCGGCCGGCTGGGGGCTGAACTTTAACACGAGTCTTGCCGGCGCAGCGACGCCCCGCCGCGCGGGTTCCCGCTCTGGCCGTCCCCGGTCCCCCGTTGGCCCGCGCTTTCCAGTCCTGTTTGGCGAATAAAGTGACTTCAATCGGACCGTGTGTTTGTGGAGCGGGGGCGCCGGGCGCCTCCGGAGCGCGGTGCTGGGACATGAGCAGCGATGTCGCGACGCAGGCAAGAAGCCCATCTTCATGAACGTGTAGCGTGGTGAGGATTTTGGATTTCTATATTGGTTGCCAGTGGTGTTCGTGCTGCATTCACACCGGGGCCCTGTTCTTCACTGACAAGTGAAAGACCGTTCACCATTTCGAGTGGCCGTTGGTCGGTCCGCGGTGCGTTAGCTGAGGCCCAGTGTTCTTCATAGCCGAGCCAGCTCATTGAGGTCAGCAATCTGAGTTTGTCACAGGTTCGTGCGTCATACGCGGCTTTGAAAAACGCTGTAAGTCCAAATATAAGAGAGAATGATCGTGCGATGCAGCCACCAAGACATATAGCGTGCAGGCAATGACGCACTTGGACTTATTTGATTGCAGTTACTGACGACTTGGGTCAAAATTATCAGTGCTTCACGGCCATCCAAAATACGGTTGAGAGCTGCCCACTTGCAACCGTACGGGACCCGCCAACAGCGCGTCAACCATTGCTTGGCGTTGCTATGTGAAACCCGTGAATTACCGTACCGTATCGCCTCCCGGCCATGTAGAGCACGAGTCTTCTGTGGCATCGTCAGGACAGAGTGTACGTGGTGGATCGAAAAGGCTTATTCGAAGTGGGGAATGGGCTTCCAGTTGCCAATGAAGAACGGTGCTCCGGCTTACTTATGACGTCACTCAACCTTGCGCTGACCGAGAGTGAGAAAGTACCACGCCTTCGCCTGCATGGCGAGGCGCATCGACGGCGAACGCGTGCTGATGGATCACCCGTGACGAACAATGAGCAGCTTCGGAACCGTACTGGATGGCATGTTCGGACGATGCGTTTATGACAACATAGGCTGACGATAGCTGTGTGATGTGGCGTTCAAGTGCGTCTTATCGCGCTCTGCACGTCTCCAGTGGGCTGGACCAGGTGGCCCCTGCATCTCTGCTCATCTTTGGACTTTGCCGCGTTATTCATCACGCGTCTGAGGCAGTCATCTGCGGCACCACGGATTAATTACGGCGGAAAACTTCGGTGCTACGACCGACGGTGACCCGGACGTCTTCACAGTCCAACGCTGGGCTCACGTCTCAGAGCGGTCCTTCAGGCCGTGTAACTGGCGCGGCGCGCCTCAGCGCTGGCCGGCCGCGCCTCAGTCGCTGCTCCACGCGGCCGCGACGGTGTCGGTTCGAGACCCACTGCCAGGCGCTCCGCCCCCCCCCCCTCGCTACCATCAGCGCGGGAGGCCGCGAAGTTTGAGACCCACACCGACCAAGCACGTGCCTCCTGCCATAAACGAAACCTAACGAGCCGCGCTATTGGAACCTACCGCTACCGTTGCGTACACACAGCCAGATCTCCCGACAAGCTGTCCGAATCCTGCATAACTGCTCCTCGGGCGCCGCTCATGCTGCGGTGTCCACCCCCGCACCGCGTCCTGCGCCAGCGGCGCGACGGCCACTCTGGAGACCCTCCAGCGTCTGCGGCGTCCGCCCCCGCACCGCGTCCTGCGCCGGCGGCGCGACGGCCACTCTGGAGACCCTCCAGCGTCTGCGGCGTCCGCCCCCGCGCCGCGTCCTGCGTCGGCGGCGCGACGGCCACTCTGGAGACCTTCCAGCGCTTCCAGCATCAGACACGCCGCGCTCGGATCATGAGGTGTGACTGGACGCCGGCGCACGGCTGATACTGGCGGGGCCCGCTCCAGGGTCCAGCCGTCCGAGGCCGGGGCCGGGGCCGGGGCCCGACACAGGCTCCAGTCTCCACACTGCGTCGTCCAGGAACACACGCACGCACCAAGCACGCACACGCACGCACACGCACGCGCGCACGTTCGCATGTGCACACGTGCGCGCACGTTCGCATGCGCGCGCAAACGCACACGTATCGCACACGCACAAGTACTACCTTCAAAGGTGGCCAATGCCACGCCAAAATGCACCGGCCGAAGTTGCGTCTATATAAGCTGCACTATCTGACCGTTCAGTCCATAATGTGTATTACTCCACTAAGAGTGACAGCACTGATATACCGTATTGCACTTGTGTACTGCATTGTACGCATGCCAGCCAGGTGCTAAGGACCTGCAATAAAGAACCCCACATGCAAAGGCGTTGCCCGGCACCCCGTCACACCACATATGGGTAACAGCACAGCGAGTTGGCGCATTATCAACGCTCCGCATCATAAAATGTTTTCATCGCCTCCTTTCAACAAATACAAATTCGTTGACATTTAACATTCGCCGCACGATGCGTAGAAATCTGGTTGTAAAAGCGTCTCAGTCTGATGCTAGCCCAAACTACTAGCGTAACCGTTCACCTAGGGCGCTACCTGCGGCCAAACGGTACGTTAAACAGCAGACGCGCGCGCTGCTTCAGATCGATATATAACAGATCCCAAGGCACGCGGAAGGCACCGTTTGTCACATTCCACCGGAAGACCATGCATCCATGCCAGACCACCCCACAATACAGAACACGACCATCGGAACATTCGGTCCGGATCGTTGCACTACCAGGATCGCTAAACCAAGCCCCCCCCCCCCCCCTTTCTGGATCAGCTGGTGGTGGTGCTGACTCCGACACGACCTGCCGACAGCTGACTGCGTCACTACACGACTCTTGGCCAGCAGGTAGTCGTGCAGGCTGCCACGCGCCAGGAATGTGCGTGGCGCGCCCTGGCCGGCCCCCAGGCCTCCGCCGGCTTGAGGCCGCCCGGCGAGCCGAACCCGCCGCCGCCCGGCGTCAACAGCCGGAACGTGTCCTGCCGGACGGGTCAACAAGGTCACCACACGGCGACGGTGGCCAAAGGCGTGCCGCGGCACAGGTCAGTGGAGGTCACCGCCGCGGGTCCGGCTCCAGCCGGGGGCCGTGCCAGCTACAGGGCGCGCAGAAGTCGTTGTTCTTCCGATAATTTCCATCCATACCGTGAGCCGCGGTCAAATTAATCGTCGAGCTACGCAACCATCAAGGATCACAGAAACTATGGGCGAAAAAGTACAGCTCTCCCGCGTCATTAACGCAGTGGGCGTGGAACAATTAAATGTCTTAAAATACGCCCCACGTGTATAGCGCTGCACAGTCGGGTGAGCCGGCGTGATTTGTTCAGGCGCTGTATCCGGAGAGTGATATCCTGCCCAAGTAAGAGCTATACATAGTGAAACAGCACCCGAGAGGGTGCGTCACTGGGACTCCCCATATAATGCTCTCATATGTCTCCACCGGCTACCGTAATTAAACGCTCAGAATAGCTGAGTTCAATGACAGAATTGGAAAGCGAAAAACGTTGACTGCCGGACCCATTCAGGTGGCAAGTTTTCGTCAACGCACTTTCGATTTGGTGCTGGTAAACAAAAGTGCAATTTCGTGATTAGAAAACAAATTTGGTAAATCGTATTTGGTCACTTGGGTGGATCGCAAACTCCCCCCCGAGCGTCCCCAATACCAGGCAGATGTTGTCCCATCAGAACCTGGAGTGCCACTTTCTTAGGAACATATATTGCAAAATGGCGTGGTGCCAAGAGCCTATACCCAAGCAAGGGGCAACATCCGCCAACGGAAATTATTTCCTGCATGTAGAGACGCTCGAAATTAACCGGAAACTGTGCAGCTCGCGAGGGCGTCGGCCCCGACGATCAAAGACACTTTGGTAACTGGTAAACTTGAAGAGGTAATCCGGGCTTATCACAGCGAACTCCCAGTCAAAGAGCTTGCGAAACCGAAACGTGACACGTCAACGAGCAGGTGTGATGGCCGGGGAATGCGACCCCCCCCCCACCCCCCCCCCCCACCCCTTGAATCCCCGTGTAGCCGACGGCACGTTTCCGGGCCGTGACGGGCGGTGTGCCAGCGAGTCGGCGGCCTGACCGTGCCAACCGCAGGCCGCAAACCCCGCCCGCGTCCGTGGCACCGGCGCTGGCTCCATCAAACGTCGGTTCAGCTCCACGGCGCCGGCTCCATCAACGTCGGTTCAGCTACACCAAAGCGCCTGTTCAGAGCCGAGCGGGCCGGCCGTGAAGGGACTCGGCGCGCAAGATCGAGGCGCCTGGATGAGTGGGCTGCCATGTGCTCCCTTTGCCTTTGGCTGCTTCCGCCATTGCATTAAAAGTTCGCAGATCCAAAAACGCTTCGGAGCAGTTTCAATAAACTGCGCATCTTCTGTTCTTTCCGCGCTCTTGGCGCAGGGCTTGGCATCAAATTTTGATGCCGCGAGTCGCAGAGACCGTAGGAGTTACACGCAAACTCCCACATCATGGACGGCAGCAAGGGCAAGGCGGCGCATAAGCGCTGAGGACTGTCTGCTTAGTACGTGCGCCCACATTACTGATCGTGACCTGGCCCGCGCGACGAGAATGCCTCAGCACGGGCCCACTGCCCCTGCTGCTGAAGCCCTGACGGCACTCCAGCGAACGCCAGCTCTGCTCACTGGCGTGAGGACGGTCCGAAGTCGTCACGTCGCAACACGCCCCGGGCCAACAGGCGCCTTGCAGACACGTCGATAGGCGAGAAGATAGCGGCCAAATGTGGCCTGGTACCTACACTGCATTCAGTCATTCTATCTACACCTAAGGAATTCGAGCATTCAGGTCGCTCATGTGAACAGGACCATTGTAAGTGATTCATAAAGTCACGATGGGTTGCCTCCATTCGTTTTTCATCCACAACAGATATACATGATAGCAAGTCCGTTCTGAGAAGTTTTTTCCTGAGGATTCAACTATTTTTGATGGATGCTAACTATGTCTAAGCTTGCAACGTACATGTCTTTCCCTTGCAAAAGTGTCATACTCACGGAGTTTTCGGAACAACTCGTTGGACTAAAACTAGCTGAAAACAAACGTGGATAGCGTGTGTGCACTGATACATAACGGTCCAACGTCATCACGCCAACACATCACACAGGACGCTTCGTCTGACAGTTTTCCAGAGTAACATCCACTGACATCCAGGGTCAACACTAACCATTCCGTGCTTCAAATCCAACGACAACAGCACACCCAATGTCAACGTCCCACACTGTGTGCACGCTGTGCTAGCCCCGCTACCCCTTGTGCTACCGCAGCTACCCCCGCTAGCCCAGCGCCTGGAGCGGGAGGAGAGGAGAGGGGCGCCGCCAGCCGCCGGACGGTCGCGGCGGGTCACTCACCCCAGTGGACACCAGGACGGATGTCTTGGCGCCCAGGCTGATGGTCCGACCGTCGTGCTTCAGCAACAGGTTCTGGCCGCGAGCTCCCGGAGCGCCCCCTGCCGGCACGGCCCGGTCAGGTCTGCTGACGTCACAGCCGGGTCAGGTCTGCTGACGTCACAGCCGGGTCAGGTCTGCTGCCGGCACGGTCCGGTCAGGTCTGCTGACGGCACAGCCGGGTCAGGTCTGCTGACGTCACAGCCGGGTCAAGTCTGCTGATGTTACAGCCGGGCCAGGTCTGCTGACGTCACAACCGGGTCAAGTCTGCTGATGTTATTGGCGGGTCAGGTCTGCTGACGTCACAGCCAGGTCAGGTCTGCTGCCGGCATGGTCCGGTCAGGTCTGCTGACGTCACAGCCGGGTCAGGTCTGCTGACGCCACAGCCGGGTCAGGTCTGCTGACGGCACTTCAGATGCTGGTTAGATCGTTGCGTCGCACGCGACGGTGGAAGGGCCACCGCGCGGACCTTCCCCTCCCCGCCCTGAGCCGACACCCTGCAGCGGTGCTTAGTTTTGAAAGTCCGCTGTAAAAAGTGCACGCAGAGGTATTTGATTTTTTTCATTTGACTAGTGGGGCGTGTTTTCATTTCAGTGTGGTTGCAAAAAAAGTTTGTGGTACGGCGGTAAACTTATGAGTCAAATTACAACGACACTTTTTTACAAATTTGTATCGTGCTAACAGACCACATATTTTGTGAATTAGCAAGGCTGGAATGGACAGAACCAGACCTTACTAGCTTCCGAATATTAATGCCGAAACGTATTGGTTGGCATCTTGTTGCTACGAAACTAACCAAATCGACAACGAAGAAAGGACGCTTGAAACAAATTGGCAACCTCGCCCAAACGAGAAAACATTGCGCAAACTGAAACGTAAAATATATGGATTCATTACCTACGCTTATCAGAGACAATGACGACATAGGCGCATCAATTAAAGCGATTTCTGATAGGGAAGACCTTCGCCAGTCACTCGCTGCAATAACAATGCTTTTACCGCGATAATTTAACATTCTTCCAATCCACTACATTTTCCACTTCTCGCACCTACTACAGTCCGTCATTCTACCTGAGCTCCGAGCTCTTTTGTTTTGTTCAGGGCCCAATGCTGCACAGTACCATACAGATCGTGGTACATTATTCTGCCGCTTACCGCACTTTTGCACGCCGTTTCCTAGGAATGCCTTATCGAGGACCGTGGGGGGGGGGGGGCACGTACCGTCTTCAGCCGCTCTGAACCACCACCAATAGATGACCTGGCTCACGCGATGCATCAACGCAGCACCATCAAACGTCACCCCTCAGTCTCAAAAGCTGACAGCCGAGTGAGCTACATAACGGATATATTTACACCAATGAGATTTTGATGAAAGGTCTTAATGGAAGACTGCTTAGGAGGGGGTGTACGCCAAGGCCAGTGATGGCGTCATCACGTGATGTACGTTTTGGTTCTATACCTGCTAGCATATGAGGGCTAACGCATTTTTGTGGTCCTTTCATCAGAATGACCATTGAGCGGAGTGTGTCGAAATGCCACTGATGGCGTACCATGTCGTATGTGCTCCAGATTTGTGCCATCCAATAGGCGCTGGGCCGATTCCTTTTCACCGCACAGCTCCGTTAGAGTGCGTGACGTAAGCCATGCAGTGGCATCGTTCCTTGGCCAATCAGGTTCACGAGTCTACGATTCAGAGCTGCTTGGTGCGGCGAATCCAGTAATTCGCATGTTTTCTTTCTGACTCGGAACAGCATTGCACGGACGCGACAAGCCGTTACGTGACCACCCGTCGTTGAGCGCACGCCCGCACCCGGCCAGCAGACGGCTCGACAGTCGGCCATCAGAGCGGCCCACTCCGAGCCGGTGCGCGAGGACCCGCGGCGACCCCCAGCGCAGTCCGAGACACGGCCGCGGGCGGCGTCGCCATGTGGCTGCTGACCCTGCTGCTGCCGGCTCTGGCCGCCGGCCTCACCGGCGACGTGTTTCAGCCGCAGCGCGAGCCCCATCACGAGCGAGGCGGCCGTCTCTCTGCCGGCGGTCAGCAGCCTGCGCTGCGCGCTCCTCTGCATCCGGCTGGGGCCCGAGCTCTGCGTCGGCTTCAGGCGCGGCCCGGCCGGCGCGTGCGACCTGTTGGACGTGCTGCAGTATCGCCCGACGTCGGCGCCGGCCGACGAAAGCGTCGACGTCAGCTTCGAGCGTCGGGTGCCCTGACAGCGCGGCGCCGTCTGCCCGCCCGACTGGGCCGCGTTCAACGACAGCTGCTACTTCCGGACCGCCGCGCTGGGCTCCCGAAGCGAGTCGCGCGCCGCCTGCAGGAAGCTGTCCCCGCCAGCCCAGCTCGTCTCGATCAACGACGAGCCCGAGCTGGCGTTCCTGCTGCACGACCCCTGCCGGCCGGCCGCGCCCGAGAGGCTGAGTCCGACCTTCGAGACGGGCGCCTGGCGAAACGAGGACGGCACTGCCTTCGGCAGCGCGATCGAGATCGAAGCGGACGAAGGCGGCAGCCTCAGCACCGGCGCGGGGTTCGCCACAGACAAGCTGACGACTCGCGTCTTCACGGACCGGCTGGCGGCCGTGTGCGAGGCGCCGCTGCCGACGCACCTCCCGCGCCGCTGTCCGGCCGGCTGGCTGGCCACCGCCACCCACTGCTTCACGCTCCACCCGCAGAAGGAGCCGTTCGTCAAGGCCGACGAGAAGTGCGGCCAGCTGGCGGCGGGCGCGCGCCTGGCCCACGCGCCCGACGCCGTCACGGCCGCCGTCATGGAGGCCTACGCCCGGCAGGCAGGCCTCGAACAGTTCTGGGTGGGTGTCACCCGACGAGGCGGCCGAGGGCGAGTGGCGATCGGTGGACGGGTCCGTGTGGGGGCACGCCTGGCGGCCGGGCTCCCCCGGCGGAGGCGTCGACGAAAACTGCGCCCTGAGCAATCGCGGCGACCTCGGCGACAAGCCTTGCAATGATCGGTACCGATTCATGTGCCGTCTGGCAATAGCCGTCGCCTAAGACGCTTCAGGGGGCGTCGACGCCGTGCGCGTCCCTAACTGCAAGACCACGAACCGGCGGCGCCGGCGCCTCTCCAGTCGCTGAAGACCACCGCACGCAACTGACGACTTTCGCGTGCGACTTCACCACACGCGGCCGAACCGAAGGCTCAGCATCGAGCCGTGGGACGCCGCCGGGCCACGCTGGTGGTCGGCGCAGCTGAGCCAGTAGGGCGCGACGAGATCCTCTAAACACGAGAAAACAGCGACCCGTCGTTTACCTCCCAGTCGCACTTCACTCACGCTTGAAGGCTAGTTCTGCAGCCCTGGCAATGCTGAGCGAAACTTTGTCCCACAGTTCCTTTGGGGGCCTTAGGTTAGCTGCTGACCCACGTGGCGCCAGCGCGACACTTCGTGCAGCACTGCGGTGGCTCAACGAAATTCGTTAATCCAATTGTGCCTTCTCCTTTTAAACAGCACACTGAGAAAAAAAATCCGGACTTAAAGTGCCCGAAATGTTTGACGCCTGAAGCAATGTTTGAAATAATGTAGCTCCATGACCACACTTAAATTTGCATTGAGTGAGCACCTTGTGGCGCGGCATGCCATACCCGCTATTAGCCCCCCCCCCCCCCCAACAGACCCCTACCTCCCACCCCTCACCCCCCCCCCCCTCCCACACATACACACGCACACATACACCACACAGTTACCTTGGCCGTGACCCTGCCGAGCTGCGTGAAGCCGCATTATCAGCTGAGAGCTGCGTCGGCCTTACGGCGCCGTGTCTGGTGTGACCGCGCCGCCGGATAAACATGGCGTTCGTGTCGGTCCGGTGACGGCCCGACCATACCGCCGGCGAGGGTTTCGCTGGAGCTATTCAAGGCTACATGGTAAATGTTTTGGCCTGATTTGGAAGTTAAATAAACAGCATTCCTGATCCCTTATGCACCCCATATTGTCGAAAACATGCGACCAAATGCCACGACCGGATGAGCAGATGACGTCGCTGGCCTGCCGTTTGGCCCGAGGATTTGCCACACTCCAGTTGCAGCACGCGTTTGAACGGATGCAGCCAGCGCCGAGGACCGAGACCTAGCGCAAAATCAACTTCTCAAATAAGAAAAAGCATGCGCATATTTGTCTACGGTACTAATAAATGCACACATGTCATTGTATTACTCGTGCGCTCAGGCAGGGGCGCACAAGACACAATGAGTTAACATCTCTCCGCTTCGCTCCCCCGGTGCGGAGCAAGAGCCGTGGAGACAGCGCTCTGTCTCCGTTCTTTGTTTCAACGAGATCCTTCTCTGGCCGCACCACTCTGCACTTCGCGACCTGCAAACGCCGCACTCGACGCGAGCCCAACGTGTGATGCGCACTTGCACACACCGATGGTCTCCACAGCCGAGTGGATGCGCGGCGTCATCTGAGCGGCGCCCCATTCCAATCAGACTGCCAATACACGAAGCTCGTCTTTGGATGCGCGGCGTCATCTGAGCGGCGCCCCATTCCAATCAGACTGCCAATACACGAAGCTCGTCTTTGGATGCGCAGCGTCATCTGAGCGGCGCCCCATTCCAATCAGACTGCCAATACACGAAGCTCGTCTTTGGATGCGCAGCGTCATCTGAGCAGCGCCCCCTTCCAATCAGACTACCAATACACGAAGCTCGTCTTTGGATGCGCAGCGTCATCTGAGCGGCGCCCATTCCAATCAGACTGCCAATACACGAAGCTCGTCTTTGGATGCGCGGCGTCATCTGAGCGGCGCCCCATTCCAATCAGACTGCCAATACACGGAGCTCGTCTGAACTCCGATTTAGAGCGGCATAGTTCGGTTTTAATCGCGTCTGACCTCTGATTCGAGGAACGTGGTGCAAGGAGGAATTCCAATTCAGTGCAGCTGCTCCCAGTGGGGATGATGGACTGAATACCTCCCTTAATGACGTCAGAAGTGCTAGGTGCAGCCCAGTTCACGGAAATACGTACGGAGATACAGCAACGGAAATACGTGCATGGGTACAGTAATGAAAACATGTACACAGATACAGCCGAGTGGCATCAACGTAGGGCGTCTCATTCACCGCATAACCGCGGAGTTGGAGGGTACGAACATTAAATATGTGAAGTTCGTTCGGCATGACGCAGCCGTTTAATTCGTACTTCCCAAAACCTGCTTTTGCGCAACAAAGTTCCAGCGTCTCCAAGGAAGTTGCATCACTCACGAGTCCCTTCTGGCACTGCCCCGAGGGCACCGAGCCAGTCGACTTGCCCAGAAAACAACTCCCGAGCCTCGCCCAAATTACAATTTTTGTTTCGCCGTACAGCGCACCCGCAGCACACAAAACTAGCACGCCAAACCCGACGTGCCCATTTCGAAATGCAGCGAGCAGGTGCGGGATACTGCTGCTGACAGCTGGCCAGCACGGTAATGCGCCACACATCTCGCAACGTTGCGTCTGCGCCGGCACATCCCGGTGCCAACGTTTTCCGAAAATCAGGGATTTCACACGCCGCTGACGACAGCCAACGTGGTGGCCATGTGAAGAGCGTCACAAGCGATATATTGGTCTGATGATATCCCGGCAGCATTCACATTCAGAGGCTTCTCTATGGCGCTGCAGCTACCATAATAGTATTAGGTCAGACTTATTACGCTGGCCTGATCCTGACAGCATAGATATACTAGCAAGGAAGGCCTCGAGCTCCTGCTTTTCAACTATCATATCAAAACATTCACCCAATGGGTTTCTACCTTTTGCAACATCACAACCCACAAGCGGAGCAAAATTCAATGTCAGGTTAAATCTCATCTGGGTCGTAGCGCGTAATGCGCGTTGCTAATGTCGTGTATAATATATGTGAACCCGAAAAATGCTGGGAATAATCATCGCCATACGTAGTCCGGTTAAAACACAGCAGCGCTATCGAGAACCCCACCAACCGAAACGCCCTACCTTCCCACCCAGGCAACCAGTTCGCTACATACAGCGCAGGAGTGACGCCAGCAGGGGCCGAGACAGTGCGGGGGCACACGGTACCGCCAGTCGGCAACGCGCGGGAGACGGCGCGGGGTCACACGGCACCCATGGCCGGCCACGCGAGGCCGAGACAATATGGGAGAATACAGCACCGACGGCCGGCCACGCGGGGCCGGGGCGGCTCACGAGCACACGGCACCGCCGGCCGGCCACGCGGGGCCGGGGCGGCTCACGACCACACGGCACCGCCGGCCGGCCACGCGGGGCCGGGGCGGCTCACGAGCACACGGCACCGCCGGCCGGCCACGCGGGGCCGAGACAGCTCAGGAGCGCAAGGCACCGCCGGTCGGCCACGCAGGGGGAGACAGCGCGGTAGCACACGGCACCGCCGGCCGGCCACGTACCGTCGAGGCTGTACGGCTGGAAGACGCGCCGCTCGGTCAGGATGGAGAGCGTCAGCGGCTTGCGGAACAGCAGCTCGCGCACCACGCCATCACCGCCGCTGTGGATCAGGTCAGGTCAGGTCAGGTCAGGTCAGGTCGGGTCAGGTCAGAGCCGTAACAGCGCTTCCACCCGGCGCCGGCGCGCCGCGATCGGCAGGAGGTGGGCCAGGCGCCGCCGCTTCACCGGCGTACGAGCGAGGGCACCAGGGACGTCCCACGGGCCCGACGGAGAGCCGGGCACGGGGCCGACACGTCATCCCTCCGAACACCGGCAGATGGACACCTCACGATCATCAGACGGCATGGCATGTATGGCATGGCCGCGAAATGCAACGCAACACGCCGCCAGAGACGCCATGGACGACTGTGGGCGCACAGCAGATGGTCGATTCCACTGGACTCGGAACGGACGCCAAACGCCTAATGCTCTTTCTCCAGTCGAATCCAGACTGGGCACATCGATCTCCACTGCACCGGTTGGCTGCTCCGACGGCTGACGCAAGCCAGGACACGAAGGGCGGGCGCGCGACAGGGAGGTAGGGGACAGCCGCCGGGGACACCGGGCGCCCGGCTCACCGGTGTCGGCCGGCGCCGCCGGTGCCCGGGTTCAGCGAGAAGCGCTGTACGACGACCGGGTAGCGGGCCTCGATGATCTCCGGGTCGGTGATGCGTGTGTTGGTCATGTGGCTGTGCACGCCGCTGCGGCCGTCCCAGGAGGGACCCTGGCGGAGGGCCACGCGGCGAGTCACGGTCGCTGCAGACCACGGTGGTCCTTGGTGCCGAGCAATGCAGCGACACGACATGCTTGGAGTGTTCACGCCAACTGGCTATCGGTTTCCCGTATACGCCCTACCTTTCGGAATCACCCAATCAAGCAGACGCAACAAAGTGACAAGTGACTCCCCGCACTCAAGAACGCAGTGATGCCTTTGCGCCAACGACGCCCACCTCAGCCAGCAACCCCGCCGACAGACGCGGCTCTCCCGCCGGCGCGCGCCACCCACCGCGCCGGCGCCGCCGGCTACTGTCTCGTAGTAGCCGAACCGGTCGTCGCCGAACGTGACGTTGTTCATGCAGCCCTGGCTGGCGGCGCAGGCGCCGAAGGCTCCCAGCACCACGTCGACGATACGCTGCGAGGTGAGCACGTTGCCGCCGACGACGGCCGCCGTCTCCGACGGGTCCAGCAGCGATCCGGGCGGGATCCGGATCTGGATCGGCGCCAGGCAGCCCTGTCGACGGCAGGGAGAGTGAGACGGATCCGGACCTGGATGAGTGTCGGATAGCCGCGCAGACGGATGAGAGGGAGCCAGATCCCGATATGGATGAGCGTTAGACAGCCTCGCCGACGGCGGGGAGTCAGATCCGGATCTGTACGGACGGCAGGCATCCTGCAGGCGGCGGGGATGGGGTCGATAAGGAACTGGATCCCCGCCGGGCAGTCCTGCACACCGCGAGGAGAGTCAAACGGATACAGATCCGATCAAACGTCACACAGGCTGCCGACAGCGCGGGGTGAGGCACAGATCGACCCGAACCAGCCTCTGGCAGCCCCGGCGGCGGCCGGTGGGATGGGGGGGGGGGGGGGCTCAGGATCAGGTACAGCGATAGGGACAGCCGTCCCTGACACCGTGTCAGGGACGGCTGGGTACGTCCGGTCGGCCGCTGCCAGACGGATTTCCTGAAGGTTTGGCGGCTGCACGGACGATAAACGTGGGCCGCTTTGCGCCCCGGAAGTGATGTCATGCTCTTCACCTAGTCAAAATGGTGCGCACTGCACACCTCCTCGTTGGACTTGGATAACTGCCATGAAATCGGGGCGCTGAGAGCCACTGACTTGCCAGACGTCTCTGTGAGGCTAGTCCCATCATAGCTCTTACTCCCTTTAAGATCGTTAGTTCTGCGGACTGCGCGGCGGGTATTACTACTTTCACGCTGCGTACTTGTCAGATTTAAATAATTCACAATGAAACACCTGAATCATAATACTTCTAGGCCCCGAGGCATTGGTGCAGCCCTGCTTACAGCAGCTGCACCAGCATCAGTGTCATTTATCTTTATATCAAAACAGCCTGCGAAACTCACATGGAATACTCCTATTTAGGGCCCAACAGATGGCAAAAACTCGGTCGATAGATTGTTAAGCCAAAGCACATCTTACTTCACGTTGAGTTCCGTAGTTACGGCTCGTGCTGTGGCTTTTATTGTTTGCTGGCGTTTTAGGGCGCGCATAATGCTGCTGAGACCATATTGCATTCATAACCGCGTTAATAAATTAACGGAATGCATATATAGTCCCAAATCCCATGTCGGCAAAAAGAGCAAACAGGCGGCCCCATCAAGCAAGCGTGAATGGTCACCTAAAGTGCAATGCAGCGCGGCACTCCGCTCGAGGTGACGCAAATACCCCTCGGCCAAATGTTGACACGACCCGGGGCGCTGTTGACGGTCAGTTTCACGATGTCCGGGAATGGCACGGGGCCTGAAAAGCATTAAGTGCACGGGCGGACAGTGGCCGGCAATACCGCGCCGGCAGCGACAGAACATGATGGCCATTTCGCATGCCATGATTGGTATCGGTCCTCTTCAATGTATTCCGGAATGCGCAATGCAAGCCCAGCCATAGCAACGATATCGGGACAAATGGCGAGCGCTGAAAGGAAATCGGTGTTGGACGCCGGTCGAGGAATGGGTAAGGAAAGCATCCACTGCACAGATGATCGGACACGAGCACTGACCGGACTACCACGCCAGCTCAGAGGTCAAACATGATGTCTGCCTCCGAATGGCCGTGGCCAGCATTGAACCCCGCCAATGTATCAAGCGTGCTCAATATCGGGTCAGCCATGGTAACCATGGTGGAACGAACAGCGAGCGATGAAAAGGAATCAGTGCCACTCGGCCGCCGAGGAGGGGGCGGAGCGTCTGGCCCATCTCTCCTGTCGGTCTCTGCTCTCTACCTCCGCTGGCTGGGAGCTTCCGAGCCCGGGCCGTGCCGTCGGGTCCGGCCCGATCACACCGACGCGGTCGGCCTGACCCTGCCGCGGCGCTGGCGCTGACCGTCCCACCCGCGCCGCCTCCCTCTCGGCCCGCGCCGCCTCCCTCTCCGCCCGCGCCGACTTCCTCGCCGCCCGCGCCGACTCCCTCTCCGTCCGCGCCGCCTCCCTCTCCGCCCGCGCCGACTCCTTCTCCGTCCGCGCCGCCTCCCTCTCCGCCCGCGCCGACTCCTTCTCGGCCCGCGCCGCCTTCCTCTCCGCTCGCGCCGGCTCCCTCCCCGTCCGCAACGGCTCCCTTCCCATCCGCTCCGGCTCTCGTCACCACCCATGCCCCTCCCTTTACCACCCGCACTGCCTCCCCTCACCACCTGCACCGCCTCCCTTCAGTGGCCGCGCCCACTCTTTCCCCGCCCGCGCTGCCTCCCTTTCCGCTCGTGCCGACTCCCTTTACTACCCGCTCCGGCTCCCTTCGCCGCTCGCGACGCCTCCCTTCGCCACTCCCGACGGCTCCCTTGACCACCCGCGCTGATTCCCTCCCCGCCGTGCCGCCCGCCTTCCCTGCCCGCGCCGACTTCCTGCCGCTCGCGCCGCCTTCCTTCACCGGCCACGCTGACTCCCTTTACCACCCGCGCCGCCTCCCTCCCCGCCTTCCTTCCCGCCCGCGACGCCTCCTTCCCTGCCCTCCTCGCCTGCGCCGCCTTCCTCCCCGCCTGCGCCACCTTCCTCCCCGCCCGCGCCGACCATGGTGGAACGAACCCTCCTCGCCCGCGACACCTTCTTCCCCACCCACGCCGCCTCCTTCCGCGTATCCTCCGCTTTCGCCACCGCCCGCCGGCTCACCTGGTTCAGGGGCACATCGTGGCCCACCATGCAGCGCAAGCAGTAGATGATGGCCGATAGTGTGATGGCCCTCGGCGCGTTGCAATTGCCCCACACCTCGTACCCGGTGCCGCTGGAACACGGGCAAGCACGCTCAGAACGGCGCCGGTAGACGCCTCGACCCTGCCTTCGGCGCGCGACGCGCACGGCACCCTGAGCTGCCTACGCTTCAAATAACGACGGTTCTTTCTGAGATTAAACAATTCTGTGCCACGTACCAAATTATCGTGCTAACTCCATTTTTATGAGGAGGAAATGTAAAACACACATCCGCTTAGAATTCCCTTACATTAAAATCCAACTTCAAAGCCAACGCGGCTGTCTCCCCGCCCCCGTCCTGTTACTGAACTAGAACAAAGCAAACACCTCTACCCTCGACACCTGATGCAATCCCCCCACTGTTGCACTCCAAACGAGATACCCCCTCCCCATCTCCGCCCTCCACACCTGAGTTAATCCTTCCCCCCCCCCCGCCTCTGCCCTCCACACCTGATGTAATCCCCCCCCCCCCACATCTGCACTCCAAACCCAGATACTCCCTCCCCCACCTCCCCCTCCACACCTGAGTTAATATCCTCCCCCCCCCCCCCCACCTCTGCCCTCTACACATACCCAACACCTCAGCCCTCCGCATGAAGCCGATCCTCCAACCTCCCGCATCTACAAAACAAACCGAACCCTGACGTGCTTACCTGAAGTCGAACACGGCCGAGCCCGCCTCCTCGTCGATATCCACGGCCAGTTGGATAGGGCTGCCGTCATCCATGCGGTCTGTGAAGCGGAGCCGGGCGGCGCCGGAGCGGCTGCTGGCGCCGCGGCCGATCTGGCGCAGCATGTCGCGCACGGCCAGCTCGGCCGCTTGCTGGATGTGCGCCATATACGCCTGCACCACCGGCAGGCCGTAGTAGTCGATCAGCTCGCCCACCAGGCTGATCCCCTGTCCGTGACGAGCCGGGCGGTCAGAGTTGGGGAGGCAAGGGGTCAGAGGGGAGGATAGCGGTCAGAGCTAGGGGAGGTGAGGGGTCGGAGGGGAGGATAGCGGTCAGAGCTGGGGGAGGTGAGGGGTCGGAGGGGAAAATAGCGGTCAGAGCTGGGAAGGTAAGGGGTGGGAGGGGAGGATAGCGGTCAGAGCTGGGGGAGGTGAGGGGTCGGAGGGGAGGACAGCGGTCAGAGGTGGGGGAGGTGAGGGGTCGGAGGGAAGGGTAGCGGTCAGAGCTGGGGGAGGTGAGGGGTCGGAGGGGAGGAGAAGGCAGTTAGAGGCGAGGAGAAAGTGGTCAGAAGTGGAAAGGGAGCGGTTAGAGGGGGCGGGGAACGGTCAGAGATGGGAAGCGTGGTCAGAGGCGGACAATGAGTGGTTAGAGGTGAGGAGAGAGGTCAGAGGTGGAGAGAGAGCGGGAGGTGGGGCGGGGAGCGGTCGGAGAGGGCGGTCAGAGGTGGGGCGGGAAGAAGTCAGAGGTAGGGCGGCGAACGGTCAGAGCTGGGGAGTGGAAAGGGGTCTGAGGCGGGAAATGAAAGGTTTGAGGAAGGAAGAACAGGTCAGCGAGCAACGAGGTCAGCAGCGGTGAGCAGGCTGTCATCGGCGGGGAGGGGAGGCTAGCAGCGGGCTGGGGGCTGGGGGCTGGGTGGCGACTCATGTGGTCGAGCTGCTGCAATGCTGGTTGGTCGCATGGTGAATAGAACAGGGTTGCGTGACTTGCATGACTTCGACTGCCTTCCACACGAATGCGGCTAATTAAATTGCATTATCACCGATCGCAATATCGGTGTTTACTTACGTACCAGCGACAAGGTGGTCGAGGTTACACTCCGGCAGCGTGAAGACGGGTTGTGGCCACATGACGGTCGGGGAGGGAGCGGGGCAGGGGATAGCCGCACCCCGACGGCTCGAAGACGGGTTGTGGCCACATGACGGCCGGGGAGGGGCGGGGCAGGGGAAAGCCGCACTCCGGCGGCTTGAAGACGGGTTGTGGCCACATGACGGTCGGGGAGGGGGGCGGGGCAGGGGAAAGCCGCACTCCGACGGCTCGAAGACGGTTGTGATCACCTGACGGACGGGAGCAGGGGCAAAGGCAGGGCGGGGCAGGGCGTGGCAGGGCGGGGGGCCGATAGCCGCGCTTCGACAGCTTGGAGACGGCTGTGGTCACCTGACGGTCGGGGCGGAGGGGGGGGGAAAAGCCGCACTCCCACAGCTTGGAGACGGCTGTGGTCACCTGGCGATTGGGGGCGGGGCGGGGCGGGGCGGGGCGGACAGCCGCACCACGCCGCACATATGTGGCCACCTGACTCCGTGCCCCCGGTCGGTGGTGCTCACCTTCTGATTGGCGGCCACCTGGGCACGCAGGTCTGATAGGTTGTCACGCAGGTTGCGCGTGCCAGAGCTGCCCGGGATCTCGCCCGGCGCCAGCAGCGCCGCCGTCACCGCCTCCTCCTGAGGGTCGCCGAGGGGCGTGGTGCTTCAGCACGGCGATCGAAGCGCCAGCGGACCGGGCAACTTGGAGATTGGCAATCAAAGTTGAGAGCAGGCCGCGCGAACGATGGGAAGATGGCGGGTGGCAGGTGTTAACCACGACTGAACTATCTATACTCGGCTCGGTAAGCTGTTCTGCAAAGCCGAACAGCTTACCGAGCCGAGAAATATTGTCGCAGCAACTCCATGAACACATCAGGTAAACGTATCGACTAATTACCGCTTGCGTTCGTAAAACAGCGACTGCTCCAACATGACAACAACAATGTGCAGAGGATACAACCAGCGACTACACAATACTACCTTCGGCCTACTATCACACTATCTGCTGCATAGTTATTCTACTCCTGCCGGCTTGCCCAGACTTCATAGTCACCTGAACGCCTTCGATTCGCGCCCCATCGTGTCTGCGTGCCGGAACTCCCGGCACACTAAGGTCACAGCCAGGTCAACTTCAGACGGGCTGCCTGACTAGCACTGGCGCACTAGTATCGCTAAGACTAGTGCACCGGGTAGCCTGGGAGGAAAGCCTGGCACCACGCACAAGTCCAGGTGCAGTACTGTCACCGGATGCAAAGCACTGTGACATCGGTCAGCAGCCCTTCGCCATCAGCAGGCCCCGCGCACGCGCGGCGCCCGGCGCTGGAGGAGGCCCGCCGCCTGGCCGCCCCACCTGGAACACGCCGGCCTCTACCAGCTTGAAGGACTTGAAACAGGCGCCCTCCTCGAGCAGCGACTTGGAGTGGGGCGGCATGGAGCCGGGTGTGATGCCGCCGATGTCGGCGTGGTGTCCGCGCGACGCCACGAAAAACACCGGACCATCCGAGTCCCTGCCGGCGGAGAAGGACGGCCGTGCCAGGAGCCGCGAACGGCACGTGGCGCTCGGAGGCGGGCAGCCGGAGGGCAGCCGCGTCAGAAGCCGCGAACGGCACGTGGCTCTCGGAGGCGGGCAGCGGGAGGACGGCCGTGTCAGAAGCCGCGAACGGCACGTGGCGCCCGGAGGCGGGCAGCGGGAGGGCAGCCGCGTCAGGAGCCGCGAACGGTACGTGGCGCTCGGAGGCGGGCAGCGGGAGGGCAGCCGCGTCAGAAGCCGCGAACGGCACGTGGCGCTCCGTGTGTCTGCCGGGCTTTGGGGGACGTGTCAGACAAGCTGACATGACACGGACGGGTCCGATGCCTCCTCGGATGGAGGAGCGGGGTGTCAGGTGGCGGGCAGGTGAAGACGGCCGCCCGTAGATGAAGTCGTAGCGTTAACTGCTAACGCCTCAAGCCGGCGACGGCAACTGCAGTTATGAATGAAAACCAGACACGCAAGACCGAGATCAACGGGTCGCCAGCGGCTTTCAAGGTGCTTCATCGGCTAGTTAGAATACGTTGATGGCCGATGTCAACGTTATGGCGAAGTTCATCATCATGCCAGTTGTCCTGTAGCGTCTCAAGCCCATGCTGCGACACGTCTCACTATCTCACCAAAAGATGTTCTGCATATGGCGGTCACCAGCACGACAAGAATTTAAATATTGGCATACTCAATTTAGTACAAAACTACCTTTACGACTAGAACAAAACACACTAAGCAGGCTTTAAAACAGCTTGTATAAAACATTGTCATAATATGGCTGCTACCAAACATGAGACGATACACGGCTTGCATGAAATATATCAACATTTAGAATATTATCGAATGGATTGCCAGGGTGCCTTGACGAAAACAAATTAAAATGTATTCAGCTCCACGGCTTGGGGTCAAACGCCCGGAAGAGACTGACAAGCAGCAGTAGGTCGGATTACACAGGAGTCAATATCTACAAGCGCACCACGAAGGGTCTGCCAACATTCACGGGAGCTGAAGAATATGTCAACTAACTGATGCTGACAGGCCCGTTACGCCGAACGACGCCCAACTACGGATAGCAAAGCTCCTCCAAACATGTATTCCTCAAACCAAACGGTTTCATTTCGAGCTTCCAGCGGAGGCAGGGAGATGAGGGGTGGGTGGTGGCGTTACCGGCCCGGGTGTCGGCCGCCGGGCGGAGACGGGTGAAGCGTGAGCCGGAGCGACGGAGGACACGTGGCCCGTCTCAGCTGGCGGATCGGGCGTGTGTGCGGTGGGTCGTGACTTAATCTAAAGTTAGAAACACTCTGATTTAAGCGTCCCGACTTGCGCCAACCCACTCATCACATCATGTCATACTGCATCAAGCTCCTAATCGGAAATAACCAACACCAGCGGCGACGCCAAGACAATGCTTAACACCTGCCGCGACGTCGGGACAGACGCCGAGTGTGGCCCAGGCAGTGGACCACCCTACACCGCCGAGGAGGTGCCCGTTAGCAGGCCAATTCCAAGCTGCCACGGCCAGCCATCGGCGGCGCGGAGCCCAGATCGATGGGAGGGGGGCGCTTCCAGGTCAATACACCTCATCAGGAACTCCCGCACACACCCACGAAACACGGCGGCGGAAGGCACCGCGTCCGGAGCGTATCGGCTTGGCGCCCCCTGGCGGCGGGCCGAGCCGGCCGGCGCGCTCGACACGCGCCAACTGGGTACAGCCACGGGAGAAGAGCGGGTGGCGGAGTCCGCGGCCCGGCGACCATGATCTGTAGACTGACTGGGGGACCCCGCGACGGCCCGGCCGACCAACTGACTGGGGGACCCCGCGACGGCCCGGCTGACCGACTGACTGGGGGACCCCGCGACGGCCCGGCTGACCGACTGACTGGAGGGACCCTTCGACGGCCCGGCCGACCGACTGACTGGGGGACTCTGCGACGGCCCGGCCGACCGACTGACTGGGGGACCCCGCGACGGCCCGGCCGACCGCGCTCTGCCGACTGACTGGAGGGGCCCCGCGACGGCCCCCGCTCCTGGGACGATGACGGAAGGGTTGCGAGGATGTCCGGGGCTAGATTCGCCGGCATCCACAACATGGTGCGGCCAAAGCGTACTGGAAACACCCGCGGTCATCTCAGACCATGCAAGGCGGGAGGAAAACTGGACAGACACACACGCCATTCAAAAAATAAATGTTACACACCAAACCGAAGCCTCCACACCAAACAGCAAGTCGAAAAAATGGTCCGCCATATATAGTCCTCAGAGGCGGGTCGGTGGCCGCGGCGCCGGCCGGCCCGCAGCGGCGGCCGGCACGGTCGGCTCACCGGTAGAAGACGGGCGTGATGACGGTGAGGTCGGGCAGGTGGGAGCCGCCGGCGGACGGGTGGTTCGACAGCAGCACGTCTCCCGGTCGGATGGCGTCGCCCAGCGCGCGGATCTGTGGGGCGGTCCGATACGCGGCGATGAGCACCTGCCGCCGGCGGCAGCCACTGCGCCCGGGCGGAGGCGCGTCTGGATGACGGCGGGCGAAGCGGCTCGCGCGCCGGGATTGCATGCGCGCGTTCGTTTCGGTTTCATCCATCAGTTCGACCCCATCGCCTGGTGAACACCTCCCCGCTGACGCTGCTTTAAGACGGCTGTACCATGCTCAGCAGACTCGGGCCGGACCCCAGCTGAATCAGACTGGTATAAGAGTCGAGCGCCTTTCGCGAGAGTTGTGGGCTGGAAACCGGATTAATTCCCTCCCAGAACCATCTGGAATAGATTTGCTATAGATTGGGCCTGATTACAAGTGAATTGGGTACAATCGCTTTACATTTTCGGCTTGATCAGCATAAGATAAGAAGGTAAAAACAGAGTAAGCTCTTTGCGGTTTTGAGCAATTCCGGCCCAAATCTGACAGCAAGCACAACTTTTTCCACGGACGCTAATGCAAGTCATGGATGTCTAGACTTGCATTAGACAGGTCTTGCCTAATACAAGCCTTGACTGGGTAGGGGGTGACGTTCTGTGAGGCATCAAACGCGCCGATGGTTCTGCCCGCTGTCCAGATGGACGGGCTGGGTTAGTCGGCTCGCTCAGCAGGCACACAGCCAGTGGGAGCGAGCCTCGGTGTGAAGTCACACCGTGTATGAGCGTAGCCTCCGTCCAGCGTTCACGCGTTCCCGCCGAGTGGCGAGGAGCGCGCTGTGCCCCGTCCACGGCCTCCAATGTCTCGTGGCGGACGGCGCGCCGCTGCCCGGCGCCCCGCAACCCGAGAGGTCCAACCAGGGCCGGGCCACGGCAGACCAGCGGCCGGTCACAGACTCACCAGGAGCACCGCACTTCAACCGGAGGGCGTCGCCGGCGAACCGAACCTCGTCAAGAACAGCGTCGTCCGCGGCCCCGGGGACGCCGGCCGGCAGCCGGCCATACAGCGGCCGACATGCCGCGGCGGGGGCCCCGTCCCGCGACCTGTGACGACCTCTCTACGGCCGTGACCGACCGGCCGGCGCGGCGCCCGGCCCGCCGCCCCGTCGCCTCACCTGGTACTGCACGGCCTCCTGCATGGCGCCCAGGTGGACGGGAATGTGCGGCGCGTTCGACACCAGGCCGCCATCTGGGCCGAACAGCGCGCACGAGAAGTCCAGCCGCTCTTTGATGTTGGTCGAAATGGACGTGCGCTGCAGGATCCTGGCGACGGAGGCGGCGGGTCGGCGCGTGGCTTCAGCTCGCCCCCCGCCGTCACCTAGGCCCTCTATCGCCCACTGCGTGTCAGTCGCCATGCACACGGCATCGGATCTAACCGCTGGCAGAGTAAGGTAGCCTCGGACAGGTCTCTGCTAAAGCCATCATGAGCGGCTCAACATCAGTCAGACACCGACAGCAAGACGGCGTCAGTAACAGAGACTGAGGAACAGCACTCGGGCTTGGTGAGGTGCCGAAACCGCTGCTACTGATTTGGGTTTTGGCTCGGCTTGTCGGCTTGGCCACACGACGCCTGAGCGCGCGACTCGGAGCCGGAGCCGGGGCCGGAGCCGGAGCCGGAGCCGGAGCCCACTCACCGGCCCATCTGCTCGGCCAGGCTCATGAAGCGGTGCGAGAAGATGCTCAGCTGTATGGCGTCCAGCTCGGGCCCGACCCGCGGCCGCTCGCCCGAGCCGATGCACACGCGCACGTCGCCGCGCGCCGTGATCGTCGCCGTGCAGTCTGCCGGCGGCGACGTCACGCTGCGTCACAACCGACCCCGGCCGGCGAGAGAGGGAGGGAGCGGTGACGGGACGGAACGCCGGGCCTGGCGGGGCTCGCCATCGGTGTTACGGTGGGATCGTGTGGACGGGTCGCGTTACTGTTGGAGTCATGCTCCTCGATGGCGATAAAGATAACACGATATTGCTAACCTGATCATTGAAAAGCCGAGATACAAATGATGAATGAAAATGAATGTCGATGTAAATGGTATTCCATGGTCAGAACATACGGTAAAATACTCCAGCCAGGCGCATAAAACAATCAGTCATGGACCATAAATGTAGCATCGCAACTCCCCGTGTTCTAAAAGACAGCGCAGGGCACAAGGATACAGACAAGTCACCACAGTTTACCTCACAACAAACGAATGAACACCAGAACAGATCGTGAGAAACACCACACACCGGCGGGCTGAGCCGCCACCCGCACGCCGGCCGCGTCTCACCGGGCTCCACCAGGATGGTGCTGAGCGAGTCCATGATGACGGCTGGCCCGGCGATCTCGTGCCCCGCCCCCAGCTCCGACAGCAGGTACACGCCCACCGTGTGGAAGCCGTCCTCGAAGTACACCTCACTCTCCTGGCGGGACGGCGGCGCGCGTGACGGCAGCGTGCGGCAGGGCGGAGAGCGCTGCAGCCTCGCCCGACGGGCTTTGACGGCGGCGGCTCCTTCACAACCAGTCCACACACGCGACCGTCGTGGCTTTAAACGGCCGGCTGATTGCTGACGGAGCGCGAAGCTAACCGCGCCACAACACGTCCATCCAGACCATCTCCTGGCCAGACATCAGGTTTCGTTTGGTCGTGTCAGCGTTTTTCGACCTGAATGGATCATTTTGGAGGGCGGTGACACGGGAAGCAGTGCTACAGCCATCCTGCCTTGACCCGGACCCCCAGGTTCACACCTGCTGCGTTGGTCACGCGGACACTGTGGGGGACCGACAGAGATCGAGATCGATCTCTCGGTGGACGGCTGCAGAGAACTCCACGCGTTGTGACGCGTGCACGATACAGGGCTTCTCATGACAAGAACATTAGACTAGCCGCCGCTGGGCACCCCGCGTACCGTTTTGGGGCAGGGCGGCTTGGCGGCCGGCGGCAGCGCGGCGTCGTCCTCCACCGAGGCGCCGCCCAGGCCGCGCACGCGCACGTCGTCCACGATGACGTCACGGTCACCGATGACGAAGCCGAACTCCTTGCGGTACCTGGCGGCCGGAGGGTGTCGGGGCTGTAGCACCACGGCGGGGAGGTCTCGGGGGTGGTGGGATCAGAACATGCAGCACGGGGGGAAGGCGGTGGGGCTGTAGCGTCATGGCAGGGCGGTCTCGGGGGTGGTGGGATCAGAACATGCACCACGGGGGAGGGCGGCGGGTTGCGATCTGTAATCGAACGCCGACGATGTGGTCGCGGTCGCGCGCCAAAACAGCGATCGAAGGGACCAAACAATATCTGACAAAAATTGACACGAAAACACAAGTTCTGAGTAATTATGAGCTGGAAATTCTTATGCTGAAAATAATGTACCTTAAATATGGCAAAAGGTAGTGGAAAAACGACGCATCAGGGAAGCATTGTTCGCATTGACATTTCGACGTTTCGACGTTTTCGACAATTATATATATACATATATATAGATACATATATATATATACATATATATATATATATATATATATATATATATATATATATATATATATATATACATTGGAATGGCTGCCTTTTTACTTGCGCCACCAAACGGTCGATGGCCCTTCCGCCTTCTGACCCTGCCGTCCGTCTTCTGGGCGGCAGGGTCAGAGGAGGAGGAGGTCGGATGCTGACGGCCCCTGGTGCCGTCAGCATCCCAAGACGCCTCCCCATCCCCATCCCCGTCCAGCCCTCGGTGTCCCCCCACTGACCGCTGCAGGAAGGCGGCCATGAAGTCTCCGCTTGCCGGGGCGGCGCCGTCGCCCGCCTGCCGGGCCACCGGCTGCACCATCAGCGCGCAGTCCGTCTGGTCGTACCGCATGTGCAGGTGAACCTCGGTCGTGATCTGAGCAGGGGTGAGACGCGAGCGGTCACGGCCGGCCGGCGCGCGCGCAGCAGCGGGCCACGGCAGTGCCGCTCGCTGGCTCAGCGCCTGGTAACGCCGCCGCCCGACGGCACACAACACGCCCGCCCGCTGACGCCGGGAGGCCAATGCATGGCTAGAGTGGTGTCCAAAGCCAAGTACAGCGCGGAATATTAATGACTGAAAGGAGAAACACAAAATAATATTGATGAAGCGCTGCCCAGCATTAGTAGTGAAAAGAAAAAGCAATGGTATTTAGCCCCATTTTCAATCAACGTAGCGTGATAGTAAACAAACCACAAGCAGTAAGTCGCCCGCCCAGAAGACGCCGCAGTTTCATCGTACAACCTTGTGGTCGGGGAAGTTCTGCTGTCTGAGCTTCTGGCGACAGACTTCTGTCAGGGCGCTCAGACGCTCATCAAAGTACGCAAAGTGCTCTGAAACGACGAGGTGCTAGTGAGTGCCGCTGGTCCACACCAACTGCACCGACGCGGCGATGATGGCGCAAACAATGGCTGCCCTGCACGGCACTTCGGGCAATGTCAGTGGTATACACCATCGGGTGATGAGAAGGACAAGGGATGGAGCAGGGGCGCAGCCAGGACGTGCGACGGGGGGAGGCAGAGGGCTACCAGGCTTCACGACTCTGGAATAGCCAGAGTTTTTAGGACTGAGTCTCAGGACATTCGGAGAACCTACGCACCGCCAACAGACAACAACAGACACCACAAACGCTAGCAGGTTCAGTGCCTTACGCAACCCAGGGCTTTCAATGCTGGTTTGCCTCACGGCGAAAACAGTTAACTGCGCACTGTAGATATCCGCTAAGCTAAGCGATGGCATTGTCAGTGAATTACTGCTGTTGGCCGCGACAAATCAGCACCCATGACAGTCAACAACATGTCAAGTCAAAGTAATTTTCATGGTCACCAGACTGCGTGACTTAATCAATATTGTCGTGGTGACAGGCCGCGCTTAATGCCAACAGGACGTGGGGAGGTACACGCCCCATGCCCCATGCCCCATGCCCCATGCCTCACGCTCCATGAGACCCCACTTGACAGCGCCCCTTGAGTGGAGACCTGAGGGCAGAGCATGCGACCATCTGGAAGCAGCTTGGCACAGGCCAGACAGCGCTGCAGAACCGCTGCTTACAGTTCATTTGGGTGGGGGAACGAGGCTTAGTGAGCACCCGTCATAAGAGAGCCGGAGGAGCCGTCTATGGTGCTGAAGTATATACACGCTCCTAATCGGAGGAGAGGAGGGGTCCTCTGGCTGCACCCCTGCCGCGCTGCACAACAAGAAATTAATCAAATGCAGTTTTTCCCCGCCGGTCTATTTTCCGGGGGCTCCTCGTTCTCAAGTTCAAGATAAATGGTGCACGCGCAATTGTTCAAGGTACGACAAGAAGTCCAGTGAGTTTGCCGTTAACCCCGATAGCTTCCTCGCGGCTGTCCGTCGCTGAATGACAACCACTTTTGCAAAGAGACTCTCAACGAGATGAGCATTACAACCCCGCTTAAATATCTCCGAATCATTCCAAATACACTTTTGTCCAGAAACACCCCCACTTGAGCGTTGTGACGCAACGCTGCATCCAAATCCCCACCAAATGCCGTGATGCTCCCTCCCCCTTCTCCGCCGCCCCCGGCGTCATCGCGCCAGTGGCGCCACCCTTGCTCCTACGCACAATCTCATCTGCGGAAAGCTTCGCCCGCCAGCCATGTTGTGACGTTTACATATAACGGTGAACGTGGCCAGCCATACTGTCTGTATGGAGCACCATAATCACGTACTATGAACTGTATACGATAATACGCCTCAATCGGTGACTGCAGCATGTGATCAAGGTTCGCTCCGCGGAACAGGCAACCAATGACGCGCATTTCCCGCTACTGTTGAGCCGCTCCACTAGCTGCACATACGTATCTGCCATAACAAACAGTCGACCGGGGCGGGCCGACGACGGCCCGTCGGGTAGGTTGCGCCGCGGCCGTGGCTAAACCGTTGGATCACAACCAGCTGCACATAACACGTGCATAGAAATGCAGGCCGGCTGAGCTATGTGCATCTACTGCGCGGCGACCAAAAAGAACAGCATCGACGTTCTTTCTGACTGCATGACTGACGCCTCAGACGCCCCAGACGCCCCAGAGGCCTCAGAAATTGCCACACAGGCAGGCGCAAGCGAGTGCGCATTTGCTTAACGATATCGGAATGCTGCTGGACTTGCAACAAGCTCTAGTCAAATTTAAAAGTGCATTATCAACGAAAACTTTAATGGACGATCAAAGTGAACCTTGAGCGATTGCTCATTTTAGTAAAAAAAGAAGCTAACACTGACGATCTCATCAGTCTTAATCTTGAGCCAGTTTTACGTGATAGGAGGTAAAAAAGCCACTTCCACTCTGCATTTGTTAAACGTATTAAATTGAGAAATCGCAGATTGTAATCATGGAAACCGTTAACATACGCAGATTAGCGGCCTATGAAAGCTCGTTATTTGCAATGCATCATTAAATTACTGCTTCCCAGAACTGGATCACTGTGAAGAGCAAGTCCGATTCGTTTTTCTTGCGAACAGATGTCTCGATGGCCATCCGTCGTCGGGCATCTTGTTTGCAACAAAACCAGTCTCCATGAACTGGTGCGCATATTGAGGCAAGATAATTTATGTAACAGCATTGTACTGCACTACGGGGAAATCTGACTTGCAATCAGTTACCCAGGAGTGCAATTTCGAGTGACATATCTCCCTGTCAAGAATAGAGTGGTGCGCCCTTCCCGCAACGAGCGTTGGGACACCCAACCTCGATTACACCATGCCCAGCGCAGTCGCTATTCCGTTGTGAGCATGTGTTGGGGTTGGTGACAAATGATCCGCTATCCGTGCATTTTTTTCCATCGGATTCCTCTTCCGGGAAGTCATCCTCACATGTATTGTTATCTGGAACGTGCGTGGAGTAAGCCTCCACAGGGTCAGTCCGGGGCAGACAGCCGGTGGACAGTGCCGATCGGCCCAGACACCAGCGCACTGACTTCAGGGGTCAACGTCCGCCGCATGGACGGCCGGGATCAATACGCATTGATGCGTGCGTCTAGCTTATCCCTGATCAGCCCGCGATGGGAAAAACATCGTACGGCGATCCACCTCCGACCCATCAATTAGCTAGGCGTGCCGCACGTGCCGACTAGTGCCGACAAGGCTGTCCGCACTGTCGTGTACCCTCTCTTCCACGAATGGGTATATTTTGTTGATTTTCAAGCCGGCACGTAGTCGCAAAGTAAGGGTAACAAAGGTCAGCAGTTACAACGGTCTGAAAAAGCACAAATCTGACCGCGCGCCTCAAAGAAATGCGATGACCTTTTCCTCACAAAAATACTTCTGAACAAGTCCGACCGCGCGACTCCATCTGGGATCACGGTAGCAATCTTAATACGTCGATCCTTCAGCAAGTTTAACCACGAGGCTCTCCGGAAAAGCGGCTGCATTATCTGCAGAAGATTACTCAACAACATGCCGACCGCGCGGCTCCCTCCATTAAAGTGGCTATACCCTCCGTGCAGCAACGCTGCCCATTAGGTCTAGCTGTGTGCCCTTACTCGGAAACGCGGCGACATTGCCTATGGAACAACGTCAATGTGATCAGTTTTAGGCAACCGTAACTACTTAGATAAAAGTGTCGCAAACTTGCATCTTTCGTAGCAGCGGAATCTGAACGCACCCGTTTATCAACCCGTTTATCACCAGCCGCAACTTGTTTTGCAGCAAAACCAGCAGACGGCACCAGAGCTTCGGCATGCCCTCTGCGCCTTCGACCGCGTTCTCTGCGCCGATCTCAACGGTCAGGCGTGCAGACACGGCTCGTGAAGTACACCTGACCACCGGCGTTCCGACAGGCGGACAACAAACCCGCCACCACGCCGGCGGTTCGGAGTGAGTACAGGACCGCCGCTTGCCTGCAGAACACACTGCGGGGCCATCGTGACTCTGGATGTAAGTACGCCCTTCCGCCTGATCCTTCCGATGCCCCAAGTGAGCGATCAACAGTGATCAGAGTGGTTAGACTTCAGCAGCACTGCATAGCCGACAGCAGCCTGTCTGCAGTCAACCGTGCCAGCTGACTATACTGGCCCCCTTACAGTTAGAAGCGGGAGACTGACCGCAACCCACTGATCGTGCAAAGGATACCCTGTCGTGCATGCACTGAGCGAGGTTGCCTTGTAGCGCTGTGCCTGCGTGCCCCTGGCCATGGCGGCCCTCTCACCGGGGGTATAGGGCCGGCCGCAGGGCTCCTGGGCCTCGTGGACGACATCAGCCAGCGCCATGCCGAACGCCGACAGGATGCCGGCGTACCTGCGCGGCCGGACGGGACGGCACGTGACAGGCGGACGGTGGCACCGGCCCCCCCCCCCCCCTCCCTTCCTGGCGACGGCCGGACGGGACGGCACGTGACAGGCGGACGGTGGCACCGCCCCCCCCCCCTCCCTTCCTGGAGACGGCCGGACGGGACGGCACGTGACGGGCGGACGGTGACACCGCCCCCCCCCCCCTTTCCTGGAGACGGCCGGAAGGGGACGGCAAGTCACGGACGGACGGTGACACCGCCCCCGCCCCCTCCCTTTCCTGGGGACGGCCGGACGGAGACGGCACGTGCCGGGCGGACGGTGACACCGCCCCCTCCCCCTCTCCTGGAGACGACCGGACGGGGACAGCACGTGACGGGCGGACGGCGACACCGCCCCCCCCCCTTCCTGGGGACGGCCGGACGGGACGGCACGTGACGGGCGGACGGTGACACCGCCCCCCCCCCCTTCCTGAAGATGGCCGGACGGGGACGGTACCTGACGGGCGGACGGTGACACCGCCCCCTCCCCTTCCTGGAGACGGCCGGAAGGGGACGGCAAGTCACGGACGGACGGTGACACCGCCCCCCCCCCCCCCCCCGCTTCCTGGGGACGGCCGGACGGGACGGCACGTGCCGGGCGGACGGTGACACCGCCCCCCCCCCCTTCCTGGGGACGGCCGGACGGAGACGGCACGTGCCGGGCGGACGGTGACACCGGGCCGGGTGTCAGACGGCGCAGGAGACGGTCGGCCGACCGCAGCTGTACTCACTGACGGTTCGTGTTGCCAGTGCACGACGGACAGACTCCACCCCGGTGTATGGGAATTGGTCGCTGGCCAACGACCACGGAATACGCCGGTGATAACGCAAAGTATGCTCGAACTGCCATAATCCAAACCAGTTCCGCTTGCAGCATGACGACCAAAGTTAACACAAGCAGCATTAAAATTACCAGTGACCGTCCATTCATTAACTAAATCGCATTTGCGAACGTGTCTTTTACAGCGTTGTGTTCAAACGCTCCTCCGCCCCCAGCCTGTGGGGCGCACCACTGCATGGTCGGCCAGCGCCCTGTCTCCGGCACGTCTGACTGGGACCAGCCCGTCGTCCGCGTACAGTCCCAGGCACCAGCCACCGCGCCACCCCTCCAGCGAGGCGTGCCTCTCACCTGTGCACGAACACCGTCCCCATGCCGAGAGCGCGCGCTATGGCGCATGCGTGCTGGCCGCCGGCGCCGCCGAAGCAGGCCAGCGCGTGGTGGGACGTGTCGTGCCCCCGAGCCTGCCGGTCAAGGGTCACGTGACGGCGCCGCCCCGACCTCCGTGCAGGGGAGGACGGGTCACGTGCGACTGCAGCTGTGTCAAGGGTGGCTGCAAGTGGGAGCATCGTCCGCGTCGGGCGCGGTCATGGAAGTCGTATCGCAGCATTAGCACACACAGTGGTGCCTCGCTTTGTTGGCCGGCTAAATACACACGATCGACATGCACAGGATGTAAGGTGTAGGGTACGATATCACAGTAGGCAAAACATTCTGAGGCGCATCATATAGAATCGTACACCCAAAGAGGAACAAACATAAGACTTATGACGGATATCAGCCGGATGACGGATACCATGATCCAATACATAAATTATGAATACGTCCATATGAGGCTGAATACCAACTTTTGAGACGTGATAGTATTCTCAGATTTCAATGTAGAGTTATTCCGACCATTCCTCTTGGGGGCATGTGCATAACATACACTCTTTCCGGCCCGCTCAAGTTACGAGTCGGTCGTCTCTGAGCTCTTCCATGTCCTTGTTCGCTGGTCAATGGAACGTAGAAGAGCGTCCAAAATATGATATTTCTGTTAACTAAGAAGCCGGGACGATGACGTACACAACAACATCCTTTGGACGCATACATGAGACATATGAGCTACAACATCCTCTGGCTTCTACAACAAAACACACGATTTAAGCATGCGAACTTTTCAAATTCCTGCACGTCAGGCATACTACTTAGGTGTGTGAGCATTTCATACGCACTCGTGTCAGAGAGCCTATGGGCCGGCACATGGTTTCACCGGCTACGCATTGCTGTGTCAGAGAGCGTACGGGCCGGCACATGGTCTCGCTGGCCACACGTACCTGTGTCAGAGAGCGTATGGGCCGGCACATGGCCTCGTTGGCTACGCGGATAAAGCCCATGGCTACCTCCTCCACCGACATGGGTTCGGAGCGGCCGCCCTTCTGCGTCTGCAGGAACTTGTTGACCTGGCGACGTCACAGGGTCAGAGAAGCGGCCTGTGCATGCGGACCAGACAAGGCGCGCAGGCCGGCGACCGTCGGAACAGCGTCAGCAGTCACCGACGCGACTCCGGGGCCTGCCGACGGCCGACGATCGCCAAGTGAGAGACGGATGCGCCTGGAGATGCTCCTGCTCAGGCGTCATCCCCAGCACACAATCTCTCATCCGAACTCTATCTCCAGGCTGGGCCTTTTCAGCGTCCCTCTTCTCGCCCACACTGACAAAGGGAAAGCGACACATGATCTAAAGTCGGACCAAATTTAGAGATTTCATCATGCACTTGGGATCAGCATTGGACCGCCCGACCTAGGGCCCCGACCCCATGGCGGTGACGTCAGCCCACGCGGCCTCGCGCCGTTCTCAAGCCACTCGCGTATCCCGGCGTCCCCCGGCGGCGCGCCGGACCGGCACCGCCAGCTGAGCGGCGCACCTCGTTGGTGAGGTTCTGGAACTGCAGGTAGGCGGCGCCACTGTCGAGCGGCTCGTCCTCGCCCGGCCCAAAGATGCGCGGGAAGAAGTCCGGCAGGAGTCGCCCCAGCACCAGGTTGGCGTCGGTCACCGTCAGAGGGCCGCCCTTCTTGTAGCACACCGGGCCTGTGGGCAGTACACGCCGCATGACGTCAGCCAACAACACACACCAGTCAGCATCATGCAAGCGAGCTTTACAACTTCCTTGGGTGGTATTAACAATTGCTTGATGCATGTAACTGCCTTGCCACCTTTGCATCTGTAGAGAAGAACTAGATTACCTCTCACTATTTCCATTAGGAAATCCGGAAAGGGACGTCCAGCCCACATGGTTCGTCCAGCCAACTTTTGGTGTCATGTGCCGAAATTCAATGCTCACAAAAGCAAATCTGCAATCATTCAAAACGCTTCATGTTTAGCACAAGCTGTGTTGCTGCTTACCGGGATGGGCGCCGGCTGACTCTGGCCCCACCACGAACATGCCGGCCCTGAAAGACAGCATGGAGCCGCCGCCAGCCGCCACCGTGTTCACGTCCAGCTGCCGGATCAACGGGCACGGGTCACGGCGACGGGTCAACCGAGGTCACGGCCGCGGGCGCAGTCACGCACGGATCAACGGAGGTCGCAGTCGGGTCACTCAGTCGGTCAGTCGGTTAGACTCACGATGACTCACAGGTCAACTTAGGTCAGCAACATGGCATCAGCACGCGACACTGATGGCAGCAGCGTCACCTAATGAGCAGATGCGGGAGACGACGCTTCGGGATAAGAAAACAGACCAGATGAAAGCAAAATCAAGCTCATGTCCCGAATATATTGCAGATCTCAGAATATATCGACTCCACACGTTCCTGGGAACACCACATCTGCAAGAATGTCAGCCGGAAAAAACCAGAACCACAGGGGATGAATCGACCCCTGGTTACATACATACCCTGTAACAGCACGCGTTCCGAACCGCCCTCACTGCACATTGTGGCAGGATCTCCAGAACCCGATCTCCAGAACATGCGCAAGTACGGTCGTCAGCCGTCCGGTCAGTAGCAACAACCACTGATAACTGGCGCCTGTCGTACCTGGGGTGCCTGGATGACGACGCCTGCCGTGGTCGACTCGAACACGTGCTCGTAGCTGCCATCGAAGCGGCTCACGTCAGTGCTGGTGCCACCCATGTCGAACCCGATAACTGCTAGTTCAGTTTCTCGTCGGTAGGTGGTCTGGGCGTAGCCGACTACGCCGCCGGCCGGGCCGGACAGAATGGCGCGGGAGCCGTTGAAGCTGGCGGGAAATGGCAACACGCGGACTTGTGTTCCCGGAACAATAATGCTCACCACTGTCTCAGCCGCGAACATGAGTTCAACACAAAACGAATGATAAAGACACGCGTCACACACTTGTAAAAAGAACATCCAAGAGAACTAGCACGAGTGGATGATATGGAAGTGTCATCTTTAGCAATCTTAAAGGTGTAGTAGGCACAAATAGATATTATTGGTACATTATCAGCCGAAGCTTGTAACATCACTCTCATGAATGAATTAACAGGGCTATAACAATACACAACATAATAATACAGGGTGTATGCCAAAATGAGGCTTTTGACATTGGCGACCACATAATTAATGGGGGCTTCTATGATAAACAACAAACCCATTCAGTGCATATTATCATGTAGTCTTTTTAATGTTACAGCTAACTTTTCGCCACATAACTTGACACATGGACACACAACATCGAAACTTACCAGCTGTGGTCCGTATGATCCACTGCATAACTGATACATTATCATGATGTTGCAAAGGCAGTTACCTTGAATGACTCGTAGTAATTCCCCTTGAGAGCAAAAATTAAAAAGCGTTCATAGAGTAATAAAAATCATGCCCTCTGCGATTCTTTTATGGTATACATTCACAAAAACTGCACATAATCATGACAACATTTGCTGGGAAAAACTCCCTACTTAACAAAGTATGATTTGAACGATGCCTAAAAAAAACAGAGCTAGAGACACCAAATTCCAAAACGTAGGTTAGCCTGTTTGTAACCTCAATTGTCAAAATTTGAGGTTTCTAGGTCATGACCTTTGGTTCCAATAAGATCAAACAAGGTCAAACTTCAGGTTGGTGTCCAAAGTGCCCCTAGACCTCCTCATGCAACCACCCTAAACCTAGATACCTGCCCTTGGCAAAAGAGCATGGTGCTCATTTTAGAGTTAATGCCTACTCTGACCTTCAAGAAGTTCATGGAAGAGGCTTGTTGCGGTCCCAGTTATCAGCAAATTCGAAACGAGCATCAGAAACTACCCCACATAGCAAGCTCTCCAGTAAAAAAACAGGTTGGTTTTGAACGTGGCCTGGCAATGTTACCTGACCCAAGGTCAACGGAAGTTGGTGTAATCCAGAATTGAATTGTCTTTTTGTACAAAAAATTATTTCGCGGCAGTATGCCTTCGTCCAACACCCCGTTGTCCCATCGGACTGAACGGTTCCCTAGAGATTGCCTTCGCTCATAGTCAAGCCCGACTTTGACCTGTCATACGTTGGCGACCTTACGCTTGTTTTTTACTTCGATTTCCTCCTTCTATCGTTTCGCCCAAAAGCTCCGCTATTCGACTGCCTACAGCTATGCAAAGTTTGGCCAGTCTACGGCACCTGTTCGGAAATTATTCTAGAACAGCCTTTGTTGTGTCAAACTGACCCCTCCCCCCCCCCCCCGCCCCAGTGCGTCTTAAAACCACATCCGACCTCTTACCTATCCATGGGCGTAAGCCCACCATCACTCTGCATGAACAGTACATTGACGTCCTTAAGCTGGTCTCGAAACCCGGCGCTAAAACTCTGGAAACGGTCGACAACAGGCAGATGGTCAAGAAGCACAGATAATGGTGCCGAGCATGGACGAAGAGCATGCAGACAGCGCATGTGCGTGATTGAAGCACTAGTGGGGGCATTCCAGTGAAGGGAAGACATTATTACAATGTAATTTAGAAGTGCGCCTAGTGCAAGAAAAGAAACACTATGGAAGCAGCTTTTGCGGACCTAAATGATTCAACCATGCCATGATACACTTGGGTGGTGATTTTGCCAGCAGTGCATGTACAGGATTCCCGTACACTACCGACCGTTCATAGCAAGAGAAGCAAGATAGGCGTAGACATATACACCTCAGTGGCATCCACTGCCTCCAAAAGTACAGCGAATAGCCGCATAACAGTCCAACAACCGTGCAATCATTTGCATTTGGTAATGCAGCTCCAAGCTCCAAGCTATCCCATTCCAAGCCTCCAAAATCCCTCACATTTAACGCTCGCATAATTTCCAGCCGGCCACACAGGTACGGCAGGCGGCGTGGTGCGCCGGTGGCCCACCTCAAGGTAGTGTTTGATGCACGGGGTAAGGCAGGCGCCGGCGGCCCACCTTAAGGTAGTGTTTGATGCACGGGGTAAGGCAGGCGCCGGCGGCCCACCTTAAGGTAGTGTTTGATGCACGGGGTAAGGCAGGCGTCGGCGGCCCACCTTAAGGTAGTGTTTGATGCACGGGGTAAGGCAGGCGCCGGCGGCCCACCTTGAGGTAGTGTTTGATGCAGGGCGTGAGGTAGGCGCCGGCGGCCCACCTTAAGGTAGTGTTTGATGCACGGGGTAAGGCAGGCGTCGGCGGCCCACCTTAAGGTAGTGTTTGATGCACGGGGTAAGGCAGGCGCCGGCGGCCCACCTTAAGGTAGTGTTTGATGCACGGGGTAAGGCAGGCGTCGGCGGCCCACCTTAAGGTAGTGTTTGATGCACGGGGTAAGGCAGGCGCCGGCGGCCCACCTTGAGGTAGTGTTTGATGCAGGGCGTGAGGTAGGCGTCGGCGGCGGCCGTGAAGCCGCGTGGCACGAGACGCGCCATCGACATCACCCCCGACGAGAGGCTGACATGGCTGAAGCCCAGCCGCTCGGCCAGCGCGCCCACCGCCACCTCGTGGTCCGGGTACCTGGTGAAGGGTCACACGAGTGACAACGGAGCGCCCACCGCCACCTCGTGGTCCGGGTACCTGGTGAAGGGTCACACGAGTGACAACGGAGCGCCCACCGCTGATACCTAGTCCAGGTCACGACACTCTCGGTATAATTGCTTGCACCGTTTGCGAATATCCTAAGATAGCCGGTAAGTGCCGACTTCTCGGAATCTAGACGGTGAAGGTGGGCGGCTCTCACGGATCGCGGGTTACGGCAGCCCTCCGCGGCCTTAAGACACGAGTGAAGAGCTTACTGGCTGTCACTGGCTCCCACGGCACACTCAGGTTGCCACCACCAGCGTGCTACCGCTACCACTCCAGACAACGACCACAGACACACACATGCACACACACATACACACACCGTGAGAGGAGCTTGGGACGTGGGACGGCACGTGTTTTCCTTATTGGCCGTGCCCAGACTCGGGTTGCCTCGCCTCGCCGGGCGGGGGGGGGGGGGGAGGGGGGGGGGGGGGCGCCGCGTCACTCACAGGTACGAGTGCATCAGCACCACGGCCAGGCTGGTTGATGCCGGCGTCCAGCAGGCGCAGCAGCAGCTGCGGCTCCAGCCGCGGTGAGGTCGGGCAGCCGCACCACCAGCAGGCTCGTGACCTGCGGGAGGCGGGGCAGCGGTTGAATACCGGGCGCTGGCGTCAACTACCGGCACTGCTCGGATGGGGATCATCGATCAAATAAGCTGCGGCAGCCAGCTTCGGCATCCTCGCCAGCAAGTTCACCGTCACAGCTAATGTGGAGCCACAGAACGTTAGAGCGTCGGTTGTTAGCATAGAGCAATGTAACGTGGTCTGCACAGAGCCGTTAATAACACGACTGCAAGACTTCTTGTGTGTTGCATGTGCGGATTGTGATATCCCAATAAATGCGATTTCGTCTGCGTAGGACTGCCCTGCTGAGTCGCACTTTGCAAAGGGTTGTGGTCGGCGACTGCGCATCAATCACTGCGCGCGATCCCATCGATCGTGTGGGTACAGTGCGCGTCTCCTCTTGGTCAGGGCAATCAGCTCGGGGCACTATACTGGTAATTATACCCATCTCTCCCAAAGCTGGCCCCAAGACCTGAACACAGGCCGGTCCTCCCGGCCTGTGTGAGGACTGACCTGAGCGTGACGTCACGCGCTCGTAGTCGTGCTCCATCTGGCAGCGCTCGGACGCCAGGAACAAACGCTCGTCCCACCTCGATGACGTCACGGTACAGTACGTCCGGGCAGGCGACCGACTGGAACGTGTCCGAGAGCGGACGGTCTGGGTCACGTAACCGGACTAACGGCTGTTGGATCGCGGTCAAAAAGCGGCCCGCGCGCTGGCTGGAAGACAGGATGTACTGGTAATGGTAACGTGCCACAAAGGTGCCAGACAACTCTGTCAAGGCAATAGTGGTACAACTGTGGACTTGTGTCACAAATAGGACTCAATTGCATGATGCTATGATGCTATGACAGCATTCTTTATGCAGCGCTGAGGGAACTTGAACTTGGTAAAAAAGTTACAAAACCTAACATCTACTGCATTAGTTACACACAACCCCAACACAAACATCCCAAAAGCCTGATTTTCAGCTATTGCACTACACCGCGATGACATAAGGCACCTCTTACCATAGCGTAAAGCCACACACGCCACAGCCCGGGCCTAGCGGCCGCATCTCACCAGGTCGAAGATCTTTGGGCCGGTGCCTGGTTCCCGATGTGCAGCGCGTCCCTGAAGCCCTTGTGATGAGCAGAGCCATGTCGGCCCCCTTCTTCTCCAGCAGGGCGTTCGTCGCCACCGTGGTGCCCATGCGGAATCCACGAGATGGCGCTGGAGTCTATGGGCTCGCCCGCCGGGAACGGCCCTGCCCGTCTCCTGGGGGTCAATTGGGCAAGGTTTCACGCAAGGTATCGGCCCTTGCCTTTAGTTCCACGATATGTCGTTCCGTCCCGACAGCTCAGTTGGTCAGGACTTTCCCCTGACTGCGATTAGGCCTGCAGCCGGTAGCAGCCGCCGCGCTTAAGGTCAGGTGATGCAAGAGAGCAGGGCGGACCGAGCCGAAGAACGAAGCAGGCATTGCGGCACTTCCGCCCCCAAACTCTGCCCATGGCTTGCAGTTGCACGATTGGATGGCAGGGCATGTTGCTCGCACAACGTGCACTGCTTAGCCGCGAGTTTCGATCTGATAATTCAACCCATTTAAAAGGTCTGGATCAATCTTCTTTTTTAAATGCATCCTAACGACCCATGTTTTGCTTTCCGTAGCAAGTGATATATTTATCATTCAAGGACGAACTGTCACGGGTCGCCGCGGTAAACTAGTTAAGAGCTGTCAAAGACTACGCTGAGAATTTCAGCTTTCAGCACCGGCGCGCGGCTTCACAAGACTTATCCTGCTGCAGGTCCAGCCAGCGATCCTGTGGTGCTCTGAGAAACGAGGAGCCAAGCCGATGGTTGCGGAGGAGACAGACTGCTGTTTTGAGTGTAGACTACAACCATCCATTGTGCATGACCAATCAGCTCCCTCCCTCACACGGCACTGACGACTCACCCCGAGGCCATCGCCGCAGCCGGGGAATGGAAGCAGTGGAGCCCCCTCCCGCACGCAAGCACGCACGTACACGCACGCACGCATGCATTCACACACGCGCATGCACGCACGCACGCACGCACGCATGCACACACACGCACGCACGCATGCACACACGCACGCACGCACGCACGACGCACGCACGCACGCACGCAAGCACGCAAGCACGCACGCACCCGCCCACCGCCCCCCCCCCCCCTCCACACACACACATCAGAGTTGGCACCATTAATACTGGCCAATCTCTTTCCCATGCAACACATTCAACTGACCCACCACCCATTACCAGACCAGTCAGCAGCCAGCAGCCACGATCTGTTCGCGCCTCATTCCTCCCCCGACAAGAGCAGCACCGCGCCGGCCAGGGCCATCTCCCTTTTCTCACCTGCTGCAGTATGCGGCGGATGCCCTCGGTCGGAGCGTCCGGGTACCGGTCCGGGTCGGAGGAGAGCAGCTTAAGCGTGCGCACGCGGCGGCCGGGCAGCGCGCGTATATGTCCGTGAACGTGCCGCCACGGTCGATCGAGAACTCAAACTTGTCTGCCATAGCTGGCCCTGGGGCAATTCAGGCTGGGGGAGGAAAGATGGCATTGTGTTCGTAGGCATGGTGTGGCTTATATGGTTTCCCCTGTAGATGATCAATTTAGTTCATGAAGGACATCACTATGGAGCCAAAATAGCTG